CAGCAAGGACGCTGCGCAAGGGAGCGATGGCGCGCGGAGGAAGGTAGGAAGGAGGGGTGACAGGAGATGCGGGCAAGGGATGCGGGGTAAGGGGCCTAGGCGCAGCGGTGGACCGCGAGAGACAAAGACGCGCGCATGGGGGGCGGGAGAGATGGGCAGTGGATAGTGAGAGCGAAGACGTAGAGAACGAAAACGGCGCAGAAATACAAAATGAAGATGGCGCAGAAGGAGAGAATGACAACGGCGCAGAAGACAAAAGAGTAGGGACACGACACTCACGACAGATCCCCCATCCAAAACCGCGTCTCGATGATCGCGGTGCTCTTGGCGCGCGCGCGGAGGACGTCCTCGGAGGGGACGCAGCGCGATGCGCTGGTCCGCCTGGATTGACGCGAAGAAGCTGCGAGCGGAGCGAGGCGAGCAAGGAAGCGAGGGTAGAGCGAAGAGCGCCAGTCAGTGCCCAGTAACTCGATAAGAGAAAGAGGAAGAGAAAGAGAGGGAGAGGGAGAGCAAGGGAAGTTCAAGGGGAAGAGAGGAGACCACGTGCTCTCGTAATTTCGCTAAATTTGCTTCCCGCACGGCCGACCATTTGGGGAGGACAAGTTAATCATCCCGACACTAGCTACTTTCAGCCATATACTCCCCATTGATATACGGTCCAGAGCATAAAAGCCTGCGGGAAGGGCAGCAAGAAACATCCGACTCACTTGCACCGACCACACCACAATGAAGCTGTCCATTGCTCTCCTCCCCTTCATCGCGGCGGTGCTCACCAGTGTACGCCCCATCCTTAACGCGTAGGACGTGTGATACTTAACCGGACCCATTAGCCCGCGTTGGCGATTTTTACCTCCTCGCTGCTCCATCCAGCTGCGTTGCAGCGGAGATTATGCCGTTGAACTCCGAGTCGCTGAGCGCGCTGCCGCGGGATACATTTGCGACGGCCAATTCGGGCCCCCTCAGCTCGTTGCAGGGTACGCCCCGAATGCCACCTGCGAGGCCGACTGTGTGTGCACGATTTTCTATGGTGCGGATGGCATGGATTAATCTAGGCGAGCTGGCGGAGGAAGGAGGGTGTTATCAATGTAGAGCACTGCGAGTCCAAGACGTTTAACCTTCAATCATACTTTGTGGAGGTGTGGGTTGGAACTCCGAGAAAGTGAAGTTTATGTCGGTTATAAAATAATTTCGAGTCTGCACGTTGGCGAAGAGTAGCTGCCCTCGCTTCTTGTGTGCGAGGCACTGCAGCGTATCTGCATTGGGACCCAATTTTCTCTGGTTGTTCCCCAGCATGTGTAGGTTATAGTGAGATATCAGGCCGGAGGGCGTGGTGAAATAATTTGAATGGAAATTGTATTTCTCGGGCTGCTGGCGTACCATCAGGTTCAACATAGTACTGTTCGGCGCAAGTTCCGAGATCTGCGCAACCTTTAATTTCCTTTCAACTGCTGACAGTACTCGATGACTGAGGCAGATAAATATCGCGGGTCCACGTACTTAATGTTTCATGCAACGCACTATTTTAATCCGGGGAGTCTGTGGAGTTCGTTGCGTCTGGTTAAACCATAATTAAAGTCTCTGAATGGGTCAGCTACTAGAGACGCGCGGAGCTGCAGCATTCTATGCGTAACTGCACCGCGAAACACGTCAGTACTGCGTAATCAATGACGAGTAGGAATGCTACCCAGAATGAATTGCACCGGGGGTGTCAAATGGATGAGTCCGTTAGGGAGCTCTGGGCTGCAGGCCGAGCAATAATGGTTGATATCGTAATCTGTACTACACAAATTCACCGCCAGCGCATAGTTGGTTGAGCCACGGGGCGCCCACTTTTAGGTATATTTAGAACAATTGAATCATCTCTCGTCCATGGGGAAATTTCACTTAGGGTCGACGGTCCAGCCAACTTTGAAGCATGGAGAATCAACCCCATTCAGCATCCGTCTACGTTTGAGGCCGATGATCATTTGAGGCGGATGTACTCAAGCTTTCAAGCCTGCTTAATGAATCTCGTTAGAAATTACATGCAGGCTTTGGGAAACCCCACATTCTTCCAATCATTTAGGACCGAAGTCTAACGCAAACGCTTTCATCTTCCATTTCATATCCGCATCATCATCGATACTCAAAAAACACTTGGGAGCTAAGTATCCCGTCCTCTAGAAGGATGTTTCGGGATTTAGCGGGGGTTTGGGGGGCTTGAAGTTGAACCGTCGGCTCGGAATTTCAGATGGCAGTTGGTCTGGCCAGTGTTGCGTTCAAAGTTGAGGTATTTTATTCAGATATTTTTGCTCCCTGCGAGTGTTGTTGAATGGCTCCATTCAAAGTGTTTCCGCAGACTCTTGAAGGCTCAAGTATAGAATGACAGGTATGGACGCATCAATTAAATTTTGATGGGAAATCAACATCGATCAACACACATCAAAAATGTTCAACATCGGTTCTCCGTCATTTCTGGATGGGTTGCCTCCATTTTTTCTGCATAGTACTCTGAGGCCATTCACCGAGTTCCATCATATTTTTTATGCCGGCGTGAAATTGCTGGGTAAAGCAAGGTCGAACAGGAGGGGAGGAAGGTCCGGTAGCGGACGGTCCGCAACTGCTCTTGATTATTCGCCGCCAGCATGATTGATGCAGGAGTTGACATCAAGTTCTTCAACATTGCCCTGAAAATCAGGCATGTCCCAACGAAGTTCACAGGTAGAGTGAAAAGGCCCAGTGATGGGAGGTCTGTCCATGCTCTCAATATTACACTCATGAGGAAGATTCAGCAGGAGCCGCTCGTTCGACTCGAGCCTGGGCCATTCTTGGGCAGTCCCCACTTTTCTTTTCCCTAGCTCAGCGCAAATTGTTAGGTAAAGGGAGGCGAAAAGGGAGGGGAGAGAAGGCCCGGTAACGGAGGCACCTGCACTCAATGGACTTGGAAAATGTATTCTGCAGGAGCCGCTCGTTCGACTCGGGCGTGGGCCAATCGTCACCTCCAACTTCTTTTTTTCAGCTGCACAGAAAATTGCTGGATAAATGAAGGTAAAGGGGAAGGCAGGGAAGGCCTGGTAGCGGACGGTTTCCGCCCCTGCTCTCCATTCATCTGCTATTTGGCGAGTTATACAGAAGCTGCTCGTTCGACTCGAGCCTGGGCCATCCGCCTGCAGGTACACTTTTTTTATGCCTTGGGGAAATTGTTGGGTAAAGCAAGGTAAAGGGGAGGGAAGGAAGGCCCGGTAGCGGACGGTCCGCACCTACTTCCAATTGTTGACTGGCCCACACGGAGTTCAGCGGGAGCAGCTCGTTCGACTCGAGCCTGGGCCATAGCCGACCAGTCTCTCAGTGTCTTTTCTTCTTCAATCTTTTTCAGCCAACACTCGAGGCCAGTCAGCCGCAATGTTCAATGGAGTAAGTAGATAAAAAAGGTGGCCGTGGGGAGCTGACATCAAGTCCTTCAACACTGCTCCGAAAATCATGTCCTAACCAAGTTCCCAGGTAGAAATGAAAAGGCCCAGTGGCGGGGGGTCCACATCTGCATTCAATTCTCAGGGATGATATTGATGCAGGAGACGATGCTCGTTCGACTCGAGCCTAGGCCATAGCCGTCTACCTTCTCTCTTTTGATCTGCTTGCGCAAAATTCTGATCTATCCGAGTTTGTAAAGGAGATTAGAAGGCTCGGTAGCGGACGGTTTCCGCACCTGCTCTCAATTCACACTTGAAAGGAAGTCCGCAGAAGAGACCGAGGCTCGGCCATTCTGCATTTCTTTTGCCTTCAGCTGGAAAATTTGATGATTCACCGAAGCTCACAGATAGCAGAAAAAGGCCTGGTAGCGGACGGTCCGCGCCTGCAATCAATTAATCGTTTGCGAGGTGATTATGAAGTCGGCAGGAGATGCTCGTTCGACTCGAGCCTGGGCCACCCCCAGTTTCATCCTGTTTTGTTTTGGCAGCGGAGAAATTGCTGGGTAAAGGAAGGTGAAAACGGAGCATGAGAAGGCTCGGTAGTGGGCGGATTCCGCATCTGCTCTCAATTCACACTTGAGAGGAAGTCAGCAGACACCTAGGGTCGGCCATTCTGGAGTACAAGCATTTCTTTTTCCTTCAGCTGGAAAAATTGCTGATTCACCGACGCTCACAGATGGCAGGAAAGGCCCGGTAGCGGAGGGTCCGCACCTTCTTCATATTGTTGGGAGTTTTCAACCCAAGCAGGAGAACGCTCGTTCGACTCGAGCCTGGGCCATGTTCATTCGCATGTTCTTTTTTTATCTGCCGAAGCACAAGATTCTGAGACAGAGAGGGTGGAAGGAAGGGAGGAAGGTCTGGGAGCGGACGGTCTGCACCTGCACCCAATTTGGGTATGAAGAAGAGGATGTATGCAGGAGACACTCGTTCGACTCGAGCCTGGGCCCTGTAGTCTTCAAGTATGGTTTTTTTGGCAGCACGAAGAGAGTTTTGCAACGGAGATGGTACATCAATGCTAGGTTCAAGGTACGCAAAGCAAGGCCCGGTAGCGGACGGTCCGTGCCTGCTCCTGTTGTGCATTGAATACAGCTTTCAGCAGGAGAGTGCTCGTCCGACTCGGGCCAGGGCCATAGCCCAGTTCTATGTCCTCTTTTGCTGCCTGTGCGGAAAATTATGAGATAGAGGAGTAAGTAGGGATGGGAGAACGGCCTGGTAGCGGACGGTTCCGCACCTGCTTCATATTGCTGGGAGTTTTCAACCTCAGCAGGAGAACGCTCGTTCGACTCGAGCCTGGGCCATTCTTTGATCACTTCTAGCATTTTTTCTACCTCACACAAAATCTTGAGATAGAGGAGGCAGCAGGGAGTACAAAAAGACCCGGTAGCGGACGGTTTCCGCACCTGCTCTCGATCATTTGTTGCCAGCATGGTTAATGCAGGAGCCACTCGTTCGACTCGAGCCTGGGCCATGCAGTCACCTTGTTCAACTAGGTTTTTTTCAACACGAGATCGGAATGGTACATCAATGCTAGGTCCAAGGTATGCAAAGCAAGGCCCAGTAGCGGACGGTTTCCGCCCCTGCTTCCAATTGTGCGGCTATAGCGAGGTCTCAGCAGGAGAGTGCTCGTTCGACTCGAGCTCGGGCCATTTTCCGTATCCACGAGAGTTTTTTTCTGTGGCTGGGTAGAAATCGTTGGGTAAAGGAAGGTGAAAGGGGAGAGGAGGAAGACCCGGTAGCGGAAGGTCTGCATCTGCACTCAATTTGAATTGAGAGCCTCGAATGCAGGAAATTCTTGTTCAAGTCGAGCCTGGGCCATTCGCGTTTTTGTTGAGGGAAAGCACAAGAAATTTGCGACAAGGGTTCTCGCCTCGCTCTCAATTAGTCGCCGCGAGCACAATTTTCTATTATGCGACCTGATAAGTAGCACCCGGCGTGTTTGCTGATGTTGTCACGACGCGTCTGAGACGCGACCGTCACATGGTGGCGGTGCACTTGCTCCCTTGGACCTCGACGTCGACCAAGTCGTCCCCCCACTTTCGCCCTGGTTGCACAAACCGTACCAATCCGCCGGAACTATCGACGTGGACCGAGGACTCAGGGGTGCATCGCGTGTTGCTCGCGACATGCTTCTCGAACAGGCGGCGCCCGTACTGTGCTGCCCCGCGATGTGGGCGTCCGTGGTACGGCGTGGAGCGTGTATGCGTTCTGTTCTCCAGGCCATGATGACGCGAAGGGGCCCCCCTCGCGTACGCCTCCTCTCCCCGTACTCGGAGCGAGCAGGGACGGATGTGCGGTGCGAGGGGTGCTCGTGGGCTTGCGTGCATCGGGAACGATGCGGACGCCTTGGAGGGGGTATGGACGCCGATGCAAATATGCTCGCGTACTCTTCGACGAAGGAGTAGCGTGTAGGCAGCGCCTCGCGAGGCCGCTGCGGGAGACCGTGCCCACTACCACGGTGCTCTTCAGGTGACGGTGTATCTCGCCCGCGAGGTGCTGGACTTCGTCTTGAACGGCACACGCCAGTGACAGACTGGACGCTCCTACTCCGCGATCCTAGAGCGGCGCCGGCTGCCCTCATCCCTCTCGTCATCTTCTTCCCGCTTCTCATCCCCGCGTCCTTGCTCGCATCCCTGCTAACGGCCCTCCCATCTCCAGAACCGCATACGCGAGTCGCTCTACATCTTCGAGTCGGTGATCAACAGAAGGCGGCAAATACATCCTGTGGAAGTTCATGCAGGAGAATCGGGCAGAGTTGACCGTATACCCACAGTACGTACCCTTCCGTTCCTCCCTGCCTTTTATCTCCTCTCTGTGCGGCATGCTGACGAAAGGTGTATAGTTTGACGCAAGCGACGAACACGAAGAACATCCGGCTCGTGCTCGCCGCCGTCAAGGAGACGATCCTGCAGAACGCGCTCAAGGACTCGGGGATCCTGTCCCGCGCCTGCGCCCTTGGACTGCAGGACCATGTGCGCACGGGCTACAGGATCAACTGATCAATTATGATTGAGTGGCTGGACTGGGTGGCGGCTTGCAGCGTCCGCGCACGCCCTGGCGTATGCGTATCCCCTCGATACCCCAGCGGATACCCGCGCCGCGCGTGCTAATAGACCGCACGGGCCGCGCAAGCGCACAGGGTCTTCTTTCTTTATTCGCTGCTCTGGTTTTCGGTTTCGGTTTCGGTCTCGTTGTTGTTCTCTCCTTCTCCCCCTCAATTATCTTCATCCGGGTTTCATTCCTCTCGTCGTCTATATCTCTGGTCTCTCTCGTTTGCTACATATGGTCTCTCCCGCTTTATTGCTTTTCCGCTCCGTGCTGCTGCTATGGCTTGTTTACTTACTTACTTATTTCTTTATTTAAGCGCGGTTGTAATGTCACTCGGTGAGAATTTGGATTAGCAGGAGGAGGGTGTTTGCGAGTGCTTGGTCGATGGCGGAGGCGCGTCGAGTCATGTGACACCAGCTGCACTTGATCAAAACCCCCATCTTCTCCAGCTGCTTGGCTCCGCACTCTTCAGAACTGCAGAGAACCACCTCAAATTGCGACCAATGGGCTCTAATAAGAGCATTATCGCCTTGCCCAAAGCTAGCTTAGCTAGTGACTCGATATTTCCTCAGCTGTTTTCTTTGTGTTTTCTACGCGGTCGTACGGCGATCGGACCTGGAATGATTTGCGGAACCTTTCCGTCTATCGATCTCTCCCCAGCTGTTTCTCTTTCCCTCCAGGATCGCACCAGGCCACATCGCTTGAGATATCTTCTACTGCAAATCAAGCGCTGGACGTTGCCATTACTTGCGGCAGCTATTTTTCTACCGCTTTCTAGGATCACCTTTCATCATGCTTTATAGCTCGGGGTCCCGTCACGCCGCCGAGGGATCAAATCGCAAGGACTCGCGTCGTTTTGGTACACGAACAAGGAACACAAATGAAGCCTACGAGCAACTTGAGCATTGGTTTCTCCTGGAGCGTCAGGTGTATGTCCACTCCGCACATCTCGCAGAGAACCTAGTGCTTCAATGAGGCTATTACTTCGCCCGCGGGCGCTCGAGACTTTTTTGTCCTTGATAAACACACGGCAGAACTTACTGGAACCATGTTCCAATGACACAGTACGAGAAATGCGATGCACCGCAGGCGCAGCAGAAACTCCTCGCCGAGATGGATGCTCTCAGGCCTCTGCTCGTAGAGCTGCGACTCCGCATCGCTCAAAATCCCTCGAGCGGTAGTCTGCAACAAATGGACATACCTTTAATCGCATCAAGGCGACGATGGAGCACTTCGCAGAAACCGTAACGCTGCCGCCAGCGGCCGGACGGGTGGCAAAATTTTTGGAAACGGCTGGCGTGGTCGATGGAAGATAAAAAGGAGTATCTTGTCAAATTCGAGGAGTTCAAGTCCTTGCTCACCTCCTGGTTGACATTGGACATCTGGTTTGTATCGAAGACTGCTCGTGGTTGCGGTGCTCATCTACACTTTCAGGGACGCGGCCCTGGAGCAACGAAGGGAGCATGGCGGTGAGTAGATTCATCACCGCGTCGTAGGGTGATTCCTACTAATGTTTCCTCCCCAACCGTCTAGAAATCCTCAAAGTCCTAGTGGATGCGGACCAACAACAACGTCTTGATCATGACGGTGAGAGCAGTGCTATGAAGAGTGGTATTGATATTCGCCGTTCAACGGTGCAGCCACCCGCAAAGCTGTGGAAGAGGCGAACGAGCAGCAGCGACTTCATCATGGCGGTGAGAAAGTGAATCGTATCGTAGGGTTGTACTCATAATCGCCATCCACGGTGTAGAGACCCTCAAAGCTATAGTTGATGCGGACCAGCAGCAACGCCGCGAGCATAGCGGTGAGGGAAATACGAAGGAGAGTGATTGGCACTGACGGTCACCTCTATTTAACGGTGCAGACATCTGAAAAACAGTGATTGATGCGGACCAGCAGCAACGACTCGAGCATGGCGGTGAGAAAGATGATCCTGTATGGTGCTTCGTACGAATATTCTTCATGAAGACATCCTCAAAGCTGTGAGTGATGCGAGCCACCAGCAGCGGGGTGATCATCACAGTGAGGATGATGCGCCATCGGATGGATCATGATCAATGACTTATGTTCGACGGCGCAGACGTCCATAAAGTGTGAATCTGTCCTGATGTTCTTCTGCAAGAGCTTCTCCTTCAACTCGAGTCTGGATCATGGAACGTGTTCGTCGATACCATTTCCAAATCAGTGGGAGGGGCATGCATCCATTTATCAAGTCGTCAGGTGGGTTCAAACTTCACACCTGCATTCTATTCGCGAAACCAACAGGCTTCTGGAATACTGTTGCACTGCCTCAGCGCTTAGCGTTCTCACCTACCTGTCTGTGCCGCCCAGCTGCTGCTCGTGGACAACGGTACCGACATTGGAAAGATCTGCCTACGCCAACTTGATCCGCGATTTCCTGACGTGTTGGTGTGTTGTGGAAGTGCGACTAGCCCCGCTCGTCGCCTTCGATTCCCGAGCCAGCTAGGCCATCCGACCAAATATTCCATCACAATTCGTTTTCTAGTTCTTTGACCACAGGTCTTCATTTACCAAGGAAATATTTTATTATTGTGTTTACAGACTTAACTTTACATTCCCGTACTCACCCCTCTCATATCTTATACAGACACTATTTGTTTCGCACTACGTACCGCCAACGCGAAGAGTCGAACCAAGTCCTCGGGCATCTCGGACTGCGCCGGGGATCGATTTGAAGTGGATTGGGCACCCATCTTCAGCGCTGAGCGGGGCGGCGTTAATCTCCCTATACGTCTTTGCGTACCTCCCGGATGACTCGTTGGGCGAAGGTTTGATTTTAGCTGAGGCTTTCTAACGGACTCTCTTACATACATCAGTTTATATCTATTTGCACTGGACGGACATTACGTTACTTTTCCCTTTGTTTTTTGACCGCCACCTCAATCCACACGATTCTGAGCAACTCCGTGCGAATCCAGCCCCGTTTGATCACTCTGAGCTAAGTTTTCTGTTTCATTCTCCTTTCTTTTCAATCTACAGCTGCCTTGATTATTTCCTAGCCAGCATTCACATTCTACTGCACGACTCGGCGCTGTCACCCGCACGACCTGGACACTTCTCGGTCCCCGTGAGGACCACTTATTTCTTCTTCAGTGTCTTTCCAACATCGACGAGCCACGGATAAATTCGATCAGCCCAAATGCGTCAGTCTCTGAATCCTCCCGTTGCTCCCCCTCTTTTTTTAATCTGTCGGCACAAAATTGCATGATGGAGGGGTGACGAGGGAGGAGAGGAAGGCCCGGTAGCGGACGGCCCGCACCTGTTTTCAATTCTCATTCAGGGACAGAATGAAGTCAGCAGGGGACGCTCATTCGACTCGAGCCTGGGCCATTATTGGTTTCCCTCGTTTTTTCTTTTCCCTAGCGCAGCGCAAATTGTTAGGTAAAGAGAGACACAAGGGGAGCATGAGTAGGCCTAGTGGTGGGGGGTCCGCGCCTACTTCCAATTGTTGGCTAGCCCACACGGAGTTCAGCGAGAGCAGCTCGTTCGACTCGAGCCTGAGCCTTCTTCGTGGGATGGGTTTTTTAGGGCTGAGCGCAAGGTAGGAGGGACGATAAAAAGGCCCGGTGACGGTCAGTCTCCGCACCTGTTAATGGTAAAATGAACTCAGCGAAGTCAGCAGGAGGTGTTCAATCGACTTGAGCCTGGGCCATTCTTCGTTTGTACGATTGAATATCCTTTTTGCGAGAGCTCAGCGGCGCGATACTCAGAGGACATGTAAATATTCGCCGTCTCCATCTCTTTTATTTCCGCCCGACCAATCAGACACTGAAACCCGCTCTTAAGCCTAGGCCCCACAAAACTGAAGTCTTAAACGCCCATTATAGGCTCGATGTTGCGCTCATCAACATGGCATACTACACGCTCGAAGAAGGCAAAGCTGGGTGTTCTATTTTGGGATAAATTCCGCTCTGTTCCTCCCCACACTGTCCCACGATCCATCCGCTCAATCCCTCCGCTTGTTCCTGCCTTTTGCTCCAGTCCTCCGCTCCCCGATTTACATCCGAGACCCCTGATTATACCCCTATTCCTTTCCCTTTTGAACTCCCCTTTCCCCTCACTCCTCTTCACTTGCTCCTCTCACAATGTCGTCTATATTTTTCCACTAATATCTAGGATCCTCGAGGGCGGAATCCAAAGTATCCCCTTCTGTGGAAGTGCCAATTGGCACACTCGTCGCATCGGCAGATCATTCACGTTGTGCACGAGCTCATCGGGTGTTAGCGACCACTCGACTTTTCTCTCATCTCTCTGATATTCCTCTCCTACATCATCTTGCCACTCTTCTCTAGACTTTTCCGAGCTCCCCGACCACTAGTACGCACCGGCGTCACGTGGAACCGCGCTTCATCAAATCACATGACCGATCATCAAAAGTCGCGTACATGAAACGCATCGCCATGAGCGTTGTAGTGGGTACTCGGTGCGGGCTCATATTTTCCTTCATTCATATTATTCCACTCTATGCATCTACCACATTTCCACACCCCACTCCCTGCCAACATTTCTATGATATAATCTGAACACTCTCCGCATCATTTCTTCGTAATTACTTGCCGACTGCGAATCTCGTTCCAACACCTCAGCCACCTCGGACTGCGCTGGGGATTGAGACGTCGGAGGTCTGTGCAACCTCATGACAGCACTGAGTGGGCAATGTACTCTCCCTATCCGTCTTTGCGCTGTGCCCGGGTGGTTTGACGGCCTAGGTGCGAGCTAGCACAAGGTATTTTATTTATATACCACGGACTCTCTACCTATTCTCTACTTACCTATATGTCTTCTCTGCGCATGGACGGGCAATGGTGGTGCGAAAGCACGCATTGCAGCCGACCCACTGCCGTTGTAATTGTTCCATGTACAACATATAGAGTGATTCCCTCTTGCCTTCTCCCTCCATCTTCTCCTTGAGCCTCTGAGTTTTTTACCCATGTCCCCGAGTCCTGCGCCCCGAGTTTTGCTCTAAATCACACCCCCCGAGTCTTGTATTGAGTCCCCAAGCTTAGTCTATTTTCTCTACATTTCCTCCTGACTATTCTACGGTTACAGGCTGGTATTAGGTATGGCCTTGCACTTCTAGGTCCACGCTAGGACCATCTTTCTCTTCTTCATTGTATATCTACTGCTTCGCTTCCAAGGGGCCCAAATCCCAGCCCAACCGTGTCCTGGGTGCAACATTCGACACCGAGAGTTCTCCCAGTTGTAGCCCAACAAAGACAACATACGGGCACAGCAGCGGGCCCACAAAGGCGACTTGTGTGCATGGGAGCCACCGGACAAAGGTGACGCGCATAAAGCGCGACGGGGTCCCGGGAAGCGGTGCCAAGCGGGGCACAGGGCGGGCAGCTGCGTGACGCCGGCTGTGGGCCGAACGAATGAGAGCGCAGTGACAAGAATGAAGCCAGCGTGGCTCTGTCTCGTACCGAGGGCACAGCTGGTCTATAGCCTCATCATGCCGTGGCTTGGCAGATCCATGACGGCATCTGCGGCTGACTTACGGCCGTCTCGCGGCTGGGGGCAACAAAATACAGAACTCAAGTACTTAAACACCTTGATGGCAAACAAACTTTCTAAGACTTTCAAATCTACTATAGTAATTTATTCTATCTAGGTACAATTTACGTAGGACTTTGTCTACTACAACTGAGAATATAACAAAGGTTTGATGTGCTATGCATGACAAGGTGCGAAGTAAGTGCATTTATTGCACTCACATTTGAGGTGTGTCAGTCACTGCCTAGTCTCTCGTAGACAGACACTTCAACATGAAGCTCGTGCCTCGCTTGTTGAAGTCTGTTGGCTATCAGGGGGGTCCGATCGGACTTCCAGCTTATTACCAATCTTTTGGCGGGCGAATCACATTGATTACCAATCTTTTGTCAATCATTTGGCAAATACTCATAAAGTGACCATCAAACTTGTTGAATAGCTCAACACCTCGGCCAATTTGCAAAATTCTGAAGAGACAGAACTCTTCCTAGCAGGGTAAAGTATGACTTCACATCTTTGCCTGTTGCAAATACATGATTCCCAGTGCTACAGAGTTGATTGGTAATAAGCGGAAACCCCGATCGGACCCCCTTTGTAACAACAGGACTAGTCACTGCCCCCAGTGTCAGAGCTCACCCGCTATGAAGCTGAAAAAAACATGATATTTTCCTGTCATATTCGTCATCGCAAGACTAACTTCAGCTGGGAAGACATCGGCTAGGTGTCATAAGACGCTGGTCGTCGAGCGGACGGCGGCGCGCAGCCAGTGTGAAGGGCAGAAACCCAGGTCTCGAACAATAGATAAACCGCAGTACAAGCTACATGCAGGGAGTACATATGGACAAGCCTGAAGGAAGATACAGTATCCGAGAGAAAATGGGTCGTGCTCATGGAGCGATTTAATTCTGTGCGGAAGACTTCGAGTCCTGGAAAGATCAACTGAGTGATGTGTAACTCGGATGGAGAGATGAGCGTCCCCACCTGGTGAATCCCGTGCATAGTGTCAATCCGAATGGCGATGGGGTGTCCCCCTGTCTGCCTAGGGCGATCCACATTCCCTAGGGAGTATTGTTCCCGGGTTGCGTGATCACTCGAAGAAATAATATACTCCCTTGAGTTGAGGGTTACCAGCATCGAGGTCGTGTAAAGGCGGCCCACTACGAAAATAATGGAAATTGATTCGCCAACATTGGACGATCACTCACTCAGCAAGAAAAAGAAGATGCTGAAGTTTGAGGAAATCAATCTTTCCTCCTTGTACGTTGAGGAGTGATTACGCACTAAAGAAATGTGTTCGGGGAGACCACGATCTGGCCGAAGTCCGTCAGTAGGATTAATTATATGGATCAATGAGACACACAGAAATAGTAGAGACCACAGCGCAAATGCTGGTTGGTAGCCCTGAAGAAGACGATTAATACCGGCCATGTTATGGAGCACAACTTCTCCAAGCACCCGTGTTGAATGTGAACACCATCTAATAACGGATTCAAATGACATCTTTGCCATCGAGCGGGCACAAACCAGTCTGTTGATCAAGTCTGTTGAGCGCTTGAACCCTGTTTTCACCTGAATGCAGAAGAATTACGAGCACGATCGATACTGCCATGTCGGTCGCCGCCGATACAACGTTCGAAGCAATGCCCCACGACTGAAGCAGCAAAATCAACGTTGATATCGGATTCCCAGGTATTCCGGATGATATACCTCCAGCGTGATGACCTCCGAAAGTTGCGTTAATCTGACACTAAAGGAATACTACTTTTAAGCCCGGAAAAACACGAAGACAATTATTTGAGGTACCACTTGACGGCATAGACTGTATAATGGGATGTTTGAAAGCTTCGAGCTGAGTTCAAAGAAGTTCTTCTCACCCAGTAAAAGTACTGAACGACCTTAGCATTGGGATGGTGGATAAGCCTTTAAGCACCCACCACACGAAACCCAGCTGAGACCCGACTGTTGGCGAGTCAAGAGAAATACACGTCTTGGCTCCTCAGACACGTACCACGGCCCCTGCCAGCCATATATTTTTTCCGACTGGAACGATTTAGATCGACACTCAGTGCGAAGATGAAGTTGACTTACTTTTGTAGATTCGCCAACAATAGAACCTAGAAATAAATTATGAGAATATATATTGCAGCAATTATCCAGCGGTCTAACTGTTGCACCATGGTCCCGATCGCGCAACTGAAGAAGAGTTGAACAATCACAGTTCTAAGCTTTGAGTTAGGAAGGAGAACCGAGTCGGCGGCTAGTCACTAACTTGACCACGGAAGGGAGTATCAGAGGGTTTTCCATGGAGCTAACTGGTTTCCATTGGTAACAATGGGTCAAGAGACTGGTGCGATTGCTGTCCGACATACCTAAGTATGTATACACTGGAAGATGGATGAGTTTGGCAAGATCGGAATCGGGCATCCACCGCCGGGTACATACCTGCGTGGCTCAGTAACGCCTGTTGGAAGGTGTCGCAGATCAAGATGGCAACGACCTATAAGCGCGTTAACGGCTCGCCGACTCCTTTCCTAACTCGAGCCACTCACCAGACATTTGACGATCTTTGGATCTTTAGAATGATATTTTCGGATGTACATCCAGAACTGCAAAATTCCAGCTGTGCCTGGTCAGAATTCTGGAACATCATTTGGAGTGTGGCACACCCCCATATAATCTTCAATATACTGATTGAAGCATGAGAGGGCTATGAATACAAGTTGAACTCACGATGCAGATATCATCACAACTATGAACAATACCCCGAAAGTATTGTGGACCGTTGTTTTCATTTTGCAGTGCGAGGTCGGAAGTAGGAGGTAGCCTGTGAGAGGAGGATA